AATTTTCGACCACCTGAAAGTGGTCAGAAGTATATGGCCTTAATAGTTAACTAGTATTTGTCCCGTGCGATGCACGGAAAATATGTTATAAAAATATACCCTATATGAGGTTTATTCATATATAAATATTTTTGTTATTTAATAATTATTATGTGTGAATTCTAAAATTATGAACATAAATATATTTACAATTAAAATAATATTTAAGGTGGGTGATTACTACAAATCTTAAACTATATTAAAAATTTAGTACATAGTATTTAATATTATAAATTTTTAAGAACTTAGTAAACTACAATAGTAATTGAATTACAATTTTAGAGTCACCACGGATCAAAATTTTTAGACCTTTGAGATTTCTAACTCTAGATGTAGCAACATACAATTGACCTTTAAAGACCAAAATCACAATCTTAGTTCGAACATTGATTTTTTCTTCCAAATACTATCGAATTAAGTGTGTAATCAATAAAAGATGAGAACTAATAATTCGATAATATAATCTTAATGTTACTAAGCCACTTCACGTCAATTAAGTTGGAGAGTGTTGTTGGATAGTATCCGATGAATCCACGAATAACGCATCTTTGTCTCCATAATCCTCAATATGCACATCAACAATCTTAAATATTAGGCCGCCTAGCTATGCCATATATTAATTTCAAACTTATGAACTTTGGGGTTGCATGCAATAAAAAGTATATTTTAAATATACTAAGAGTACATTATATATGTATGTAAGGTACTTTCAATGTAAAAATAATGTATTTGATATTCATGATCCATACAATTATGTGGACCATCGTTCCTCACAATAATTTGCCAGTAGAAATTGAAATATAAATAAATATAATAAATAAATAAGTAAATATATATATATATATATATATATATATATATATATATATATATATATTTATATATATTAGAAACTGTCCGTATCATTATTATTATTATTGCAATTATTATTATTATTATTATTATTATTATTATTGTTATTATAATTAACAATATTATTATGGTTTTGTGAAAATTAAATGTTGATTATCAACATTTAATTTTCACAATAACAATATTATTATGGTCTTGTGAAAATTAAATGTTGATTATCACCATTTAATTTTCACAAGACCATATGGCTTTATTATATATAGGATACGGTCGGAAACACTAGTTCCAACCATTTTTTCCGACCAAATTGGGGATCCGAAAAAAACTTTATCGCTATTTTCTACCATGGGGGAAAGTGGTCAGAAATAGCGACCACTTTTCTAAAGTCATTGGAAAAAAATCCAACAAAATAATTGAGAGGTGTGCGAATTTTTCAACTACCAGTGGTCAGAAATTCCGACCACTTTGGTAGTCAGAAAACTAGAGGCAGCTAGTAAAAAGAATTTCATTTCACTACAGGGAATTCCACTTTAGTGAAACGAAAATATATATATATATATATATGAGAAAATCTATGCCTGGGTCCGGTTTCCGGCCCTCCTGATCGAGTACTTTGATGAGGACATGTTGATGAAAATTGGAAGCAAGATCGGACGCGTGATCAAGGTTAATGTTACAACCAGCCTAGCATCTCGGGGAAAATTCGCCAGGATTTGTGTGGAACTTGACATAACCAAGCCTCTGCTTGCTAAGTTCAACATACATGAGGAAGTCCTTCCAGTGGAGTACGAAGGCATCCATTTAGTCTGCTTCAAATGTGGCATGTATGTCCATAGGAAAGAATTTTGTGGCCAAGAAGCAGCTAGGGATAAGACTCCCCACACCAACCATATGGAAGTTGATCCTGGGAAAGACACAGAAGGAGGATTGCATCAAGAACCAGTCGTTACTCAATCGAAGGTGAAAATCAAGGCTCATTTGAAGGAACGTTTCGGAGCGTGGATGCTAGTTACGAGAAAAGATCGAAGACCCCCAAGAAGGAATGACAACAAAGGCAATGGCCAGAACCAAAAAGCTATGAACACTCCCCAAGGAATCAATACCACAAAAGTCTACTCTAACCAACTGTACAACACTAAATTTGCACCCTTGGGTGAGATGAGTGAAGATATAGAAGGAGGCAGTGTGGCTATTCCCAGTCCTAGACAAGCGCTTACTAGGCTGGAAGATGGCTTTGAGCACACCAAAAGAGGTTTAGCAGAGAAACTGCAGAACTTGAATTATACTACCTTTGGAAACATACTTCACAGAAAGAAAAGGACTCTGGCAAGAATTGAAGGTGTTCAGAGATGTCTGGGGGAGAGGCAAAGATCTGATCTGATTCGCTTAAATAGGAAACTGCAAAAGGATTTAGAGGAAATCTTGAACCAGGAAGAATTATTTTGGTTTCAAAAATCTCGTGAGCAATGGATAACTTCCGGAGACCGGAATACGAGCTTCTATCATGCTTCAACCGCTGCGAAAAAGACTAACTCTAAAATCTCTAAGCTGAAAGATGAGCAAGGGTCGGGGGTGGATCCTGGCTTTGTAATGTCTCATACAAGGTGATTTCAAAGGCTTTGACAACAAGAATGAAAGTGATCATCCAAAAGTTAGTTGGGCCCAACCAATCGAGCTTTGTACCTGGGAGGCAAATAGTAGATGTAGATAATATATATACTAGCCTATCAAGAAGTGCTGAATACTTTAAAATCGAAGAAGGGAAGAATGGGATCAATGGTCGTTAAAATTGACCTCGAGAAGGCTTATGATCGGCTTTCGTGGCCCTCCATTGAAGATACATTGCAAGCAGCTGGTTTTAGCCAATCTTGGATCAATTACATTGACCTGTGTCTCCACATCAAGGCTTGCTATATCACTCAATGGCCAGCAGTCCGAATGCTTCAAACCTTATCCTATCCTGGGTGGAGAAGAAAGACCTTATCCTTTGCTGAAAGGAAAACTCTTGCACAGTTTGTTCTTTCAGCTATTCCTATCTATGCTATGCAGTCCACAATGTTAAGTCCATTGAAAGATTAGTTCGCGACTTCCTATGGGGAGGAGGCAACGGGGATAGGAAATGCAACGTATTTGCTTGGAAGACAGTCACACAAGATACGAACAATGGTGGGCTGGGAATTCGAAACTTGGAAGCCATGAATTTGGCCCTTCTCACCAAACTGAGATGGTGCTAGATAAACAATCAATGCTAGTAGATAGGCTTATGGGACAGTTTATGGATAGGCAAAATTGGATAAGAGTTAATACCAATTGGGTACATATAGGCAAATTTTGATAATTATATATTATTAAGATTATATAGCAAACAGGGAGTTTTGTTTACTCAAATTATAAAACTACTTGGTGGACTCCTATTTTGTACTCTAAAATTTTACTCCCTCTCACTTTTTCTAAGACCCACATGATCAAAATAAGAGTTTTTTTCTCAAAATGGTCCCTCAACTATCGCTCATTCTCAATTTTGCATTTCGACTTTTAATTGCACTCAATGTGGTCCCCGGTCCCTTGAATTTTAAAAACTCCCCCAAATCGGTCCTCCGTTAGAAATTCTGTCTACTGAGTGTTAAAATGAAGGGCATTTTCATCCGTTTACATATTATATGCCTAATATACTCTGAAAAAATAGTCGAGGGACCATTTTGGGAATAGTCGATGGATCATTTTGGGAAAAACTCATTTATTTATTTCATTTTGTTTATTTCCATTTTTTTAAGACTATCAAATTAGAATTTCTATACATTTTTTTCTTACAAATATAAATAGATAAAATTCACAATCAAAAGTCAAAATTTTAAACTTTCTCTACAAATTTTTTTCTTCTATCTAAACATACCAACTTCCCTCTATTCCTATCAAGTTTTACAATAAGTTCCGTAAGTTTCAAAAATATAATACTCATATACTTTTTATGTTCATATATATATATATATATATATATATATATATATATATATATATATATATATATATATATATATATATATATATATATATATATAGGCACACACACACACACTTCAATAGACAATCAATCACTATGTATCACATTAAATATTATTTTTACTACTGAAAATAACATTACTATTTTTATCAGTTTAGACACCCAAAATGTACTCATGTATCACATTAAATATTATTTTTACCACTAAAAATAACATTACTATTTTTATCAGTTTAGACACCCAAAATGTACTCTTCATTTCTCGATTAATATGCCTTTGAAAATAAAATTATTATTTTTACAATCAATCGCTATGCTTCTAGCACTTCTTGGAACTGAGAAGTACGCGTCACTTCTCGGTCAATGACAAAATCTTAGAAAATATTTTTGAAAAGTTGGCTGAACTTAACCTGCAAGGCCATTAGTTTCATTCCAAAGTTAGTACAAATCATAGCTACCATTTTCAAATGCCTATCTACCAAGAAGTACATCATGCTAAAGAGAGTCTACAACTATAGCTATCAATTTTGTGTGTTAAAGGACAAGTAAAATAAACCAAATGCAAAAATAATTAGCACAAAACAAACAATTCTAAACCTAAAGCCTCATCATTTTTCAATATTACAAGTTCTTGTCATTTTGAAGTTTGTTTGTATTTTATATATGAATATTAATAAACTTAAATTTAAAAGTTAAACTTGTTTACCAAAGTACGAAACTTATTGTAAAACTTATAGGAATAGAGGAAAATTGTATGTTTAGACAGAAGGAAAAAATTGTAGAGAAAGTTTAAAAACTATTTATATTTGTAAGAAAAAAATCTATAGAAATTCTAATATGATAGTCTTTAAAAAAATGGAAATAAATAAATGAACTTTTCCCAAAATGGTCCCTCGACTATTTTTCAGTGTATATAAGGCATATAATAGGTAAATGGACAAAAATGCCCTTCATTTTAACACTCAATAGACAAAATTTCTAAAAGAAGACCAATTTGGGAGAGTTTTTAAAAGTCAAGGGACCACATTGGGTGCAATTAAAAGTCGAAATGCAAAATTGAGAATGAACGATAATCGAGGGACTATTTTGGGGAAAAACTCCTCAAAATAACATAACCTATCATTATTTGTCACATCATGAATTAAAAGTAAGGGAGTAAAATTTGAGAATATATATTTATAATACGAAGACAACCTACACAACTAACAACATCTACTGTAATGTGTCACAAATGGTGGTGTGAGTATCACTCTGCTGCTCCGTTCCGTCTTCTTTTTCTTTTGAAGCAAAATTTCCCATCTGAAGCAAAAGAAGAGGGAATGAATATTGTAAGAAATGAAGCTATATATAGCAATTTATGCTTCACGCCTCTATGTATTATAGACTATCTAGATATGATATGATAATCCACTATTTCACTATTGTAATTGCCCGCTTAGATAACTATGGAATAGAGAGATCGATGTCATCAAGCCATCAGATCAGTGAATAAAATGCTATTCAGCAGACTGTCAAGGGTAAAGGACAAGCAACAGCCATAATAAACAAATAGGAAATGGTAGAAACTTGTAGCAATAAGAATACAAAATTCATAAAAATCCTCTAAACAATAACTTAAAGCAGCAGCTTCTTGCACTAACACAAGTCAAAGTAAGAAGACAAGAATCCATGTGATTTGTATTGTTAATACAAAGTAAACTCACTCACATTTGATGGATGATCCAGCTAGACAAGTCAGCCTGGATTTTGTATTGGCCATTGCCAGTGGATTTGATTTCTCCTTCCCTCCCATCCCCATGCGAACATCCCAGACACGTATGTTGCCATTTGATGATGCAGATGCTACTAAATATGGATACTCTCCATCATTGTTGTAGAGTACAACAATGCCCTTAACACGGGCAGAATGTGCATCATCAATCCTGTATGCAATTTTTCCACTTTTTGTATCCCATGCCGTAATATTCTTGTCCTCTCCTCCAGTAAACAATATACCACCCTGCAAAATATCACAACATATTGAGAAGGAGCGAAATAGCTTAAGAATCTTGTTTTAACTTTAAACAGAACAAACAATCAGAATCTGAAAACGTGAACCTTAAAATACAGAACTAGTATTTGCTAATTTTGATTAAACAGGTTTGTACATGACAAGAATTTTGAACTCAGTTACATGAATTTTACAGTATATGCAATGCAACATTGTAATAGGAATTTCCATACACCTCAATAACTCACTTTTTTTGAAATCTGTAACTTCCACTCATACAAGCAATATCTTCTTAGAACAGAATGAAATTCAACAAGCACCCATTAAATTGTTTATATAAAATCCAAAGCAAACTAAAGACCAAAGCTTTACACTCACACATATGCTATAAATATAAAAGCAGAGGACATTAAAATTCATAGATATGATATGAACACAGTGCAGAAATCACCTCTCCTGGGGCAGCACAGAGAACTCGCTTCGCATTATTAAATTCCAAAACTGTTCTTGGACAGTATTCAAGCTCGAGTACTGAAACTTTTTCATCCATAACCATGTATAATGTTTTGCCAGTTTCGTTAAATTTCACGATAGAGACTTCTTTGCCCAGGCTGTAGTAAAAACTCCTCCTCCCTCTCTCCAAATCAACCATAGCTAAACATTCATCTCGGCCCACCGAGCACACCAGCCCCCCTGACGGGTGGATAGAAAGGGAATTGATGCCTTTTCGGTGAACCTTCACAGTTTTGAGGTGAACAAAGGGATCGGTGTGGTAGATGGAGACTGAGCCATTGTCAGCGGCGGAGATAAGGTTGTGCGGGAAGGACAGGGACGGAGGGGTGTAGAATGCAAGGGAATTTATGGTGGCAGATTCGTGGAGGGAACCGATTTCGGAGCAAGTGGAGAGGTCGTAGATTTTAATGGTATCATCGGAGCCACCAGAGACAGCAACAGAGCCGGAAACGTCTGCACATTTGATGGTGGAGAGGTGGGAAGGGAAGGAAAAGAGGGGAATTAAATCAAGGTTTTGAAGATCCTTTGGAGATTTCAGTTTGTACCCCCATATGAAATGATCGTAGGAACCGGCGATTAGACTCATGGATTTCCCAGCTTCAATGGACTCTCTGTTTGTTCTCTATAAAACCTTAGGAAGAAGAAGAAGAAGAAGAAGAAGGTAAGGGTTTAAGAAAAAGAAAATCTAATTACAGAATTACCACGGGAGTTTGGTAGACAACAAAGTTTGAAATCATATTACAAAATTACAAATTCAAGAATACAAGTTTAATAACCACAAACCAAAGTCCATAATTTTAAATCCAACAAAATCATAAATTCATAATACAAAAATCTAACATAAGTTTAATACAATGTTTTCAATCCATCAATAAGTACAATGTAAACATAATAGCATTTAAAAACTATACATTTTAGCTTCAGTTTACTAAGCTCCTATCGTTCATAACGTTAGCTTCGTAGATTGATCCGACTATGATCTTCCAAAACTAGAAGGGGATATTTATTTAATTTCATAATATACTATTCATACTGTTTAGATACTATTAGTACGTTTAAAACTCTAGGAATCTATATCTATATATACTATATAGCAGTTCATCCGCCACAGAACGCAGCAAAACATCATCCGCCACAGGCCGCAGCAGCGGCGGCCGCAACAGTAGCCACCGCCTCCACCCTTACCCCATAGCGTCGCAGAGGAAGTCACGAAACCCTTTTGGTTCTGACAAAGAAAAATCGGAAAACTAGGAAGACAAATAATTACTAAAAAAGAGAGAAAAACTATGGTTACAACCTGATAGCGTTGTGAATGGCCCTCAAATCCACTGAAGGACCCCAGAATCCGGCGAAAAGGAGAAGAATTTACCAATCCGCGAGCAGAAGTAGTCGAAACCCCTAACCGGCCGTCTAAGGTTTCTACGCCAGTTCACCAGGGAGACGCCGAAGACAATTGGGAGGTGAAGCCGCTTAAATCGCCGGAGGAAACGGGCTGCCTAGCAGTTCCTGCGCCGCCGGAAATCGCATAAAAGAAAAACGAGAATGCCAAACGTTTTTTTTTAATATGTAAAGTTAGGGTTATGCAATGGACTGAGCTTTTTTTTTATTACGGTATTTGGACTTTAGAAATGATTATTTTGGGCCCAAAATATTTGTTTAATTACTAGGCAGTTATATTTTTAGTTGGGTTAGTTTTATATATGTATAATAATATATAGAGTAAATACCCAAAATAGTCCCTCGACTATAGTATAATTCACAGATTGATCTTCGACTATTAATTGAACCCAATTAAATCTTTAACTATTCAAAATTTACCCAATTAGGTCCTCCGTCAATTCCTCCGTTTAAAGCCCGTCAAGTCGTCAACTATTAGGTCAAAAGCGTAATTTCTAATCTTATCTTCTTCACCATTGCCTCCGTCCTTTCTTATGTCGCCTCCCTGCACCATCCCAAGAAAAAATACAAATCTTCTTTCAATTAATATTGGTTGATTTGCTACGGGTTTTCCAGAAGTTGTTCATCTTTTGCTTTTTCATCAATCTGAACTGCAGCGAAGCGAGCTCGAATTCGAACCTGGGTTCCAATTCAGATGGGCTGTAATCGAGCTTGAGTTTATTCCCTTCGCTGACTACTTCCACTCTTGAAAAGCGTTCTTGTTGTACCAATCAAGCTCGACGTCTTTAGATAGCCAAAACAACTTCGGCAGCGCTTTCCTTCCAGCATCATCGTCGGTACCATCTTCCTTGTTTACCGCATTATCTTCCACCAATGTTTCGCATGCGATTTTGAGAAAAATTACTACATAACCTCAATCTTTTGGAAGTATTGATTATTAGTAGGCAATGCTGCCTACAAGCCTTCAAGCTTAACTCTTCCCCAATATCTACACATATATAATATATTGTTGTCCTAAGCTTGTGTCTCTTCAACAAAGCATAGAAAATTTTAAAGTTTTGTCAATAAGGCAGGGGTGTCCAGAACTGCAAATTAAAGGCGATATGATCAAGAAAATGGGGAGCACTAGTGTGACATTGCTCGCATCACAATCTGATAAGGCCCATTTTCTCTCTCTCTTCAATGCTTTGAAATGCATGACACTTGAGGTGCTTGTATTGTGAACCTTTCATTTCCTCTGTGAAATCGGATTTCACTTTGAAGATTCATTGACCCCTCAACAGCAATCCATTCAAGCTTGAAAGGCTTGCAAGAATGACCACGGTTGGTGGGATCGAGGTAGTTTTGGGGGTTAAGCAGATTTGATAGTAAATTCGTTATTTTCTACTTTGCTCAATCTTGGCCGACCACGGTTGTCGCTGGTGGCAATGGAGTCAAGAATGGAAAGGGAGACAAACAATAGAACGGCAACGTATTCGGTCTTATTTTAGGGATAATTTATTGTATAATCAAGGAGCTTATGAAATTACACTTTTAACCTCAAAGTTGACAGGTTTTAAACGGAAGAATTGACGAGGATCTAATTAGGTAAATTTTGAATAGTTGAGGATTTAATTGGGTTCAATCAATAGTCGAAGACCAATTTGTGAATTATGCTATAGTCGATGGACTATTTTGAGTATTTACTCAATAATATATACAAATATTGTTGTATTCTTTAATTTTTTGGGGTTTTTCTAATTATTATTTAAAAAATGGTGATGGTGAGTAATACTCCAAATCTTTAAAAAATGGTGATGGTGATGGGAAGTCAATTGTCAATTTATTATTCTTATTAAGGAGGTGCATCGGTATTAGCAATACTAATATATGCCATATATAAATTAGTACGCACACACTCACACAGGTAGTGATTATCGCACGAATTATAATAAAGTTTTTCAATCTATTGCTCTAATAGATTATACCATGCTTTCATTTCCGCCTAAGAGTGAATTCATATTAATAGATTTGTAAGATCATTATTTTTTTTTGTATAAATTACGAGATGGTCCGAGTTTTCTTTTTCTGTTTGTTTAACTTTGTATGATCATTATTGTAAATGAGATTAGCAATATGAATGCATTTATTGTCTTAACATTTAAATTACATTGTATAACTATATCTACATTTTTAATAAAACTAATTTTGCTTTGTATCATAACATTATAACAATACTTATAAATTTTTGTCCGTGTATCGCATGGGGCAAATACTAGTCTACTATACTAATAAAAGCCCAAGAGAGTTAGGCCTATAATGGGTAGAAAAAATGACGGTCAAATTTTTTAATCAAATGAATGGCTCAGATTGATTAGATTTTAATTTTTCTTTAATTTCCTAATTTATCCTTAATGAATATGATTATCCGTTTTTTTTTTTTGAAAATGAATATGATTATCCGTTAAATATTATCTTTTTCGTTAATTTTCGTTAGTTCACCATTAACTTACTCATTAATTTCAATAAGAAAGGTTTTAGGTTCGAACCACATCCCAATCAAAGTTGGCATAATTAGTACTCTATTTTACTCTTATTAAATTATTAAATAATAATTTAGTTGCTACAACAAAAAATAATACATATGCATTTCTTTAATTTAGAATTATGTGTCTACAATGTCTTTTTTTTTAAAAAAATAAATATTCATTATCAATGAATTAAATAAGAGAAATAATTCTATTAGTTATATTGTCTTTATTTTTCCCCAATATAAAAATTTTTTACATTCAAATTCATCAATTGATTATATTCGCTACATTGTCCCTAGAATGTCTTTATTAAAAAAAATATATTCATTATCAATAAATTAATTAAGAGAAATAATTTTATTAGTTATATTGTCTTTATATTTCTCCAATTTAAAATTTTTTACATTTAAATTCATCAATTGATTATATTCACTACATTGTCTATTATCTTTTCTGTGCACTATTTTTTTTAATTAAATATCAAAGTTATAATACAAAATAATGCTATATATTTATTTACCAAGTATTTTATTAATATCATGAAAATTTTAAAAAATATAATTAATAAAACCAATCATATTAACTATATGAGGGATTTATTGACAAAGAGAGTATTCAAATCACACAACAAATTGAAGTGAGAACTACCTCGCAATGTCCTTGTTTGACAATCAGCAGTTAGCGGTTAGCGTTAGCAGATTATATTAGCGGATTTGACCAGCGAATTATATCAACGGTTGGTAAAAAGTTATTTGAAAAAATTAACTGTTTAGATTAACATGTAAAATGACCTAAGGGTATACATATATTTAATAATAATAATAATAATATTAATAATAATAATAATAATAATAATAATAATAATAATAATAATAATAATAATAATAATAATAATAATAATAATAATAATAATTGTTTTTAAAAAATAAAAAAAAATAAAAATATATAATTAAGCCAATCGTAATAACTACTTGGGCGATTTATTGACAAAAAGAGTATTCAAATCACACAACAAATTGAAGTGGGAAACTACCTCGCAATGTCCTTGTTTGGCAATCAACAGTTAGCTCTTCAATATTAGTATATATTTAATATTTTATGCCCTAATTTTTATTTGCTCTCCCTTATGTCCCGTATATGGTTTCAACCATACCTATACAATTATTTTATTGACAATTATAATCAATCTTGACTATATTATCTTGTATTTGTAAACTTAAAATTACCTATTTAAATACGCAAATTCAACATTCAATTATCTATGCATGAACAATTCCAATATGATCTTACATTGATATACTTTAAAGTACTTATATAAAAAAAACATTGGGCATTATCTCAATCGCGCAATGCGCGTAAAAAACTAGTATGTATATATATATATATATATATATATATATATATATATATATATATATATATATATATATATATATATATATATATATATATATATATATATATATATATATATATGAAAGGGTTCAGCTTACCGTGCGGTTGTGCGGTTAGATTTGAGCCGTTGATCAAATTTAGATCAACGGCTCAAATCAATGAAAAAAACGCGTGTTTGGAAGAAGAAGCATAAGCTAAAAATGGCGAACCTTAAGCGTTAGATCTTAACCACAAACTCACGCACATTAAGTACAAAACCCACCCACATTAAGCACAACCTCACGCACATTAAGCACAAAACCCACGCACTTTAAATATTAACTCACAGACTTTAAGTTTCAACAACTACTGACATTAAGCACAAACTCACGCACATTAAGTCCAAAACTCACGCACATTAAGCACAACCTCACGCACATTAAGCACAAAACTCACGCACTTTAAGTATTAACTCACAGACTTTAAGTTTTAACAACTACTCACGTTAAGAACAACCCCACGCACATTAAGCACAAAACTCATGCACCTTACGCACAAAACTCACGCATCTTATATACAAAACTCACGCACATTAATAACAGATCCGCTCAACTTAATTTTGACCTAGATGCAAAAATTACAAAATTGCCACCACATTTTTTAAAAAATTTTAATAATCCTGAATGTTGATTTAAGCGAGATGAATGGCCCAAACTTAAACCGCACAACCGTTGTAACACCCTCGATTTTCATACCAATTTAAAACTTAATCATGCAAATAATCTAACCATAAAAGCATACACAGCGGAAGTCTAACTGATAAATTGATGGAAAACGTAGAGTGTTATGCCACGTCCACACAACGGTGAACGCACAGGCGTAAACAACATCAACATAATCTATCTATAAAGGAACAAGGTCAACAACAAGTCTAAAGTCTAGCAAAGGGCACACAGGCCAAAACATATTACAAGGACTGAGGGATCTATTCTGTCCGTCTCTAGATCGCGCTCGCCTCTACTCGGCACCTGAAAGAAACACATAAATATGTGGGACGACGCCCGGTCAGCGAATGATGCTGGTAACTCACCAATACATGTGAAATATCATACATAGATAGGATATATATACAAAATCGTTTGCGAAACATGATATAGTATATATAAGTTCAAAGCCAAGAGTAGAAGTCAAACACAAGACTCTATGCACTCACAACAAAGATAAGAGAACACATCCCAAGACATCAAGAAGTGAGAATGACACCCAAGAACGGCTCAAGGCGTATTCTAC